GTATCATCAGGAAAGCTTCTTGCCAACAGTATACTGTTGGTAGTTAACTCTCCAAGGAGTCAAAAAGTTATGCGTGGATTTTTGATAGTGCACGGGGTCAGCGTCCCAATCCTTGTGCTGGTCACTGGTCAAGTGTACATTCAGTATAGAAACTCTAAAGAGGAAAAAGCAGTATGTTTCCACTGAGCAGGATTTTGTGAGCATTGATAAACCCTGAAGCATGAGCCGGAGGGTAAAACTTTCCAGATCGTTGGAGCTTACATTTGGGGCAAGGGCTGGCTTGTGATGATGCCATACGGTAAGAGGTACTTTGGTGAGGTTAAATATGAGTGGGGGGCAACTGGGCTGAGGAGAGGCAGCCAGCCAAGAATGGATTGTCAGGATACAACTCTCTGAGGATGACATTGAGCTGAGACCACTGGCCTGAGAAGGATGAAACGAACCAGGGGAAAGTGCAACGGGAGGGACAGGAAAGAAAGGCCCTGATCTGTGAGAAGAAGGGCAGGGTGGTGGGACATGGTGAGCAAGGGGAGGCTGGAGGGGCTCAGGATGAGGCAAGGAGGTCTGGGATGTGACATGGAGGGAGAGACACCTTGTGAGCGTCACTCTGCCTGCAGGGTGGAGGGTGCAAGGGCAGGGCAAGATAAGCCTTCCTCCACCTGGGAGATATTGGTGGCTTCCAACATCTGGGGCAGCTGCAGGACAGAGGGAGATGTGACAGGTATCCTGGGAATGTGTTTTAGAGGAACACTGCTGAGAGCATCCTGGAGACCAGCTTGTCCCTACTCCTAAGTTCCCCAGCCCCATGGCAGAGTCAGAGCTCCTGCAGGGACTCCCTGCTTCTTAGGGGAAGGGAACTGCTCCAGCCCGTAACTAACTGATGCTTCTGGAACAAAGCATGTTTTTCTGGCTCAGTGGAGTAGCTATGAGGGATGAGTGAAGGAAAAACTCTTAAAAGTTTCTAGGGTCTCATCCTGAGCACCTGGTGGTAGTTGGTGTCATTTCCTCAATTAGGAGAGATCGAGGGAGGACTGTGTGTGCTGGGGGTCGGGGGAAGAGTTGTGAGGGGTCAAAAGCTCCATTTGGGGCACATGGAGGTCACACCGCCTGTTGCACACCCAAGGTCTTTGGTCCCCAGATCCAAGGTAAGCACCTATATAGGTCAGGAGCTCAGTAGAGAGAAATGTGTGTCTGTTCACCAATGACAGGGTCCCGTGTTCTAGGTATGGGGATGTGGGAGTGAACAAAGCTAGACTCCTCTCACCCCTAGAGTTGGCCCTCTGTGGAGGGAGTGAAACAATCCTCAAGTTCAACAGTAAGTCATGATATGTTAAAAGGTGGTATATGGAGATGTGCTGGGGAGAAAAGTTAACCAGGGAAGGAAGGTGTGCAGCCCAAGGTTTATAAAACAGAATTTCACATCAAAAATATTACTTCTACTAGATGCACATTTAACCTGTGTTATAAAAAGCATCCCTCCCAAAGGAACAAGGGATTTGCAGTAGTTTGAGGAGTGCACCTGGCACCTGAAGATTCGCTGTGCTGCAAACCTTCCGTGCAGGTGTGCACCGAGGTACAGCCCAGCAGCTGAGGGGCACAGGTGGAGTCAGGGAGGACATGGGGCCTGGTTCTGGGGACCAAAGACCTTTTTCATTTCTCAACTTTGTGCTATTGAATAAAGTGGTTTCACACATGGGGAGAAATAAAGTGGGAATGTTGAATTAACAAAGGCTGGAGCAAGTTCTCAACCCTGTGGAGGAGAAAATTACCCAGTGAGTATGAAGGGGAATTTGAGCTGTGAACTTGCACTGTGGCCAGGGCGTGCAGGAGCACGTGCAGAGGGCCTGTCTGGGTTGGGGTGAGGGGCTACGGAGACACCACAGCTTGGCCAAGATGAAGGCTAAGTGGAAAGGTAAAGCTTCCTGGTTTTGCCAGACTGTTGTCTGAAAAGCAGAGCTGGAAACAGCTGTCTGGGCCACCATGAATGGTGACTGGAATGGAGATGACCATCTCCTGTCAAGGTGGCCCAGGGAAGAGGGAATTAAAGACTAACGCAGAGCCCCAGGTGGGCACTGGGAGGTGCCAGCCCTGAGAAGCCATGTGTGGGGACACCACAGACACTGTTTATTCTCCCAGTTAGACAGCCTGAGAGTGTTCTGTAAGTTGTCCCTGCAGCAGGCCAGCCCTCCTGTCCAAACCACGATGCACCCAGGTCAGCTCCGCAAAGGAAGTCACAGGTCAGAAAAGGGCTAATTGGTGACAGTGATGCTGACACAATGCAGGCCTTGGGAACAAGTCTGCAGTGTGCCTGCAGAGCGTGGCGTATGCAGGGGGTGGCTGCAGGCCACTGGGCCCATCACAGCCCATCTCTTCTCCATCTGACTCACCCCAGTCCCAGAACCAATGTAAATATTAGTGACAAACCAATGAATTTTAATAATTAAATTGTTAACATTTTATTTAAATATTGTTTCTAAAAACACTGCCATCTGAATTGGAGGTTATAGTGCAGACAGCTACTTTGCAGCCACACAGGAGGGACCTGGGGACCCACAGAGGGAGCCGTGCATCAGGCCAGGTGCACAGCAGGAGTGGTGTGTGAGGTGGCCTGCAGGGAGGGCCGGCATGGCCCCCCAAGCAGAGAGCATGTTGGCACCTTAGTAGGGGAGGAGGGCTAGGGCGAGGGTATGAGGGACAGCAGGGGAAGGGGACACCCTCAGGTCCCCAGGATGTGCATGCATGTGGGAGCTTGAGGAGTGCTGAGCTGGAGGTGAGGAGGTTAGAAAGAAGAGAACCAAGGCCAGTGGAGTGTGCCAAAGGGAGGTCTTCCCTCTGAGAGGGGAAGATGGAGGTGGGGCGCCTGAGTGTGGGGAAAGCCAACTAGGAGGGGGCATCTGAGTATGGCAGGCAGCTGAATATGGGGGGGACACCTGAGCATGGAAGGATCTAAGTATGGGGAGACATGAGTCTGGGGGGACCTCCGTATGGGGCACTTGTCTAGGGGGCCTTGAACATGGGACACCTGAGTATGGGGGGCCCAACTTCAGCAAAGCAGGAGAAAGAGGAGAAAGAGAATCAGGAGAGAAATATTCCTTCCAAAAGTCACTCTCAACTCCCTGGTTTTACAAAGCTGTTAATAGCATTCTTGTTAATAGCATTCTTAGATTCAAGAGCAAAGATTCATGGGGCACTTGTCTAGGGGGCCTTGAACATGGGACACCTGAGTATGGGGGGCCCAACTTCAGCAAAGCAGGAGAAAGAGGAGAAAGAGAATCAGGAGAGAAATATTCCTTCCAAAAGTCACTCTCAACTCCCTGGTTTTACAAAGCTGTTAATAGCATTCTTGTTAATAGCATTCTTAGATTCAAGAGCAAATATGATCTGTGTTTAAAAAAAAACAACACTCTACTGAGAGATGAAGTTTTTGAAAATTGTTGGATAAAGAGAAATTACTCACTGATAGTTAAATGTTGCAAGAAGAATTCTCAGAATCACATGGGGAGTACTTTGTGCCTCAGGGTACAATCTTAAATCAAGTGATTAAGCCTCTCAGGTAAGTAATATTTCTGTTTAAGGTGATGGATATCTCAATTGCCCTGATTCGATCATTATAATGAATGTATCAAAATATTATGTGTACCCTGAAAACATGTATATGTATGTATGTATCAATAAAAAAGTAAAGGTAAAAAAAATGAAAAAAAAGGAAGAAGAAAATGATTTTATACCATCAAATTAAAACTCATGCATTATTTGGGGCTCAGCTAGGGTATGCCGATTTGAGGATATTGCCTAGAGAAAATACTGTTACCTATATTGGCTGGCAGTCTTATGCTTTGCAGCCCCTTGTGTACAATTCATATTAAGAAGAGGATGTTTAACATAATGGTGGCACATGTGTGTGTTGGTGTGTGCGTTTGGGTGGGTATGTGTGTGATGTGTGGTATGGGGGCTTCAGGAGATGATGAAGGGGGGTGCACTTTTCTATCAAGATGAGTGGATGGAGTCATCTAGATAATTATCCATTGATAACAAATCCCTTTAAAACGTTCACCTCTTTGGATACTGTTGGGACCGGCAGTACGTATCCTCATTTACAGTCATGACAGAGGAAATACTCTCCAGGTTGGAAATTCATTGACTCCCTTTATTTTCTCTCCTGAAATGTGTGTTAGTGTAATTCAAGAAGTGTCTCTTCTGTGTCAGACGTCCTTGCTGGCTGTGGAACCTGCACTCCCCCGTACTAGCCGGCAGATGGGAAATAGTGTCCGCCCAGGAAGTGATCTGGAGGGGGCAGAGAGAGGACAGAGTGCCCACCCCGGGCCCAGGCCAGGGGACTCTGGGAGGATGTTTCTCTCGGTGTCTCAGGCAGCAGCTGTGTCTTATCACCCCAGGCTGAAAATGGGGAGGCATGTGGTGACCACAAGTCACAGTTTTGCATGGCCTGCAGATGTGTCTCTCACTTCAACTTTGGGGTTCAACTGCAGTGTCTGACTATACGAAGTGGTCACATGTAGCTAAGGTAGAAAAGTCTGGTAACAGCTTCCCTAGTAATACAACGGTGATGAGGAGCGAGATTTCTTTTCTCCAGGAGGAGCAGTTGATTCCAGCTCAGACTGGTTCTGCCTCTTTTGTGTCACTGTGACCATCAGGGCAAGCTTGACAGTCCTCTTTTGCAATAGTGGTACTTCTGTTTATCTCTCTTTGGGGTCTGTTTCTTCTTAGAATTCTTTATCAAAGAAAAGAATTAAATTGGTCACTTTCATCAAATGCTGTTTGTAGATTAAACAGAGGCCACCTGTGGTGTTTGGAAACTATAATAATATAATACAAATTAATACAAATATAATACAAAGGCAACCATGTGCGGGGAAATCCATAAAAGGAGCAGCTTCTGTGCTGGAAGGATCTGCCTCCAGTTTGCAAGTGTTCAGGTGGTTTTAGCCAACATTCCCTGCTGCTCGGTCCCTCACTGCAGTTTTCTCTTTGTCTTGCTCCAGGTGGACAACTGCTCAGGTGTGTGCCCTCTCACCCTGAAGCATGGCCAGTGGCACAGCCGACAGCGCCAACCACCTGCCCTTCTTTTTTGGCAACATCACCCGGGAGGAGGCAGAAGACTACCTGGTCCAGGGGGGCATGAGCGATGGGCTCTACCTGCTGCGCCAGAGCCGCAACTACCTGGGCGGCTTCGCCCTATCTGTGGCCCACGGGAGGAAGGCACACCACTACACCATCGAGCGGGAGCTGAACGGCACCTATGCCATTGCCGGTGGCAGGACCCATGCCAGTCCAGCTGACCTCTGCCACTACCACTCCCAGGAGTCCGACGGCCTTGTCTGCCTCCTCAAGAAGCCCTTCAACCGGCCCCCCGGCGTGCAGCCCAAGACCGGGCCCTTTGAGGACCTGAAGGAAAACCTCATCAGGGAATACGTGAAGCAGACCTGGAACCTGCAGGTGAGCGTCCGTGACTGGGCCTGCCCCCTGGGCTCTGTGATCCACACAACTGCCCAGTCGCTGGAAGCACTCTATGTCCAAATAAGCACAGACCAGTGATCTTTACGCATCAGCTTTGCCAAATGCCTTGCTTTAAAAGGACAGTCTTTCCCCTTTCACTATCACAATGGAGAGAGTGGGCCCGGTCATGTCAGCAGTTTGGGTTTCTCCACTGCAGGGAACCACTCCGTGCGTGGTGGGCCCTTTCAGGGAGGCCCTGGTTTTTATTTACCTAACAGTCACACTATACACACTGATAGGCACTTGATTTTACTTGTAGTACAACACCAGGTGGCACATGATAGGCTATCTGGTGTTGCACTATACACCATAATTATTGAACTAGTACCTATTGTTGGATACTTCTGATGTTCAGAGATAATGCTGGTCATGTTGCTTTTGGCCCATCTTATGTGCGGCTTGTCTGCAACATCTATACAATAAACTTTGAAAGGGTTGGGTTTGCCGCAGCAAAGCTTGGGTAACTTGGATATATTGACAAGGTGCCATCCAGAAAGTTTGCAGGGGTTATGATGCTTTATATTCCTGCCATGTTCTTAGCAGCCCTGGGTGCGGGGAGCTGCACATTTGATTGATTCATGCTCTTGGACTTGGTGTTCAGCTGTATTGTGTTTCCTAGACACGTGCTGTATGCATTTTGCTATGTTACTCGATGCATAAGATTTATGATAGTATTGACTTTTTGAGGATTATATGCTCCTTTTATTACTTTAATATGTTCTGTATTAAATTAAGTTCATCCTTGTAGACAGATACTGCAATGCTGTGTGCCTGGTATTTTTCATGAGCGTGTACTGGAGATGTCTTAGACCATCCTTTTATCCTTTAAATCAGATCTATTGAGTTATAATTTGCACACGGTCAGTTCATCCTTTTCAGGCATACAGTTCTATGGTTTTTGACAAAAGCATGGCATCTCGGAACACCCTCCCCACCCACTACGGCACAGACAGAGGGGAGCTCCATCGCCCTATCTAGCATCCTTGCTTGAGCCTTCCCCTGCCCTGGGAGGCACTCACCTGCTTTCTGTCTCTGCAGTTTTGCCTTTTCAGAGTGTCACACAAGAGCAGCTCCACAGCGCCGAGCCTTTTTTTTTTTTTTTTTTTTTGGACTATTTATAATTATGGCTGTCTTTCTCCATCTTAAGTATCATAATGATCCTGCTTTCTGTCTCTGCAGTTTTGCCTTTTCAGAGTGTCACACAAGAGCAGCTCCACAGCGCCGAGCCTTTTTTTTTTTTTTATAAGCAGGACTATTTATAATTATGGCTGTCTTTCTCCATCTTAAGTATCATAATGATACTTATTTCTGTCCATAAGCAAGGATAATTGAGCAGGTCTTTGCCTCTCTCTTGAAGAAGTTTTGCCTTTACTGACTTAGAGCAGAGGGGATTGAGAAC